CAGCTTTCTCACCTTTACAGATAAAAGCCAAAGCCTGTACTTTTAGGGAACCTGTAGGACTTAGGTTAGATCTCCTCTTTTCAAAATTCAGATACTGTAGTTACTTTAGATATTCATTTCTACTGCCTTAAAGTAAGAAAGTCATGGAGAGGATGGGTGAGAAGATTGTTTCCCAGATGGCCAGTGCCCTCCCAGCGCCCCACCCTTCCCCTTAAGCAGTCAGTGGGCTATGGTATGGAGAGTTCTCAGGCTAAGGAATAAAAGGTACCAGCATCACCACTAGAGCTTCAAGCAGAGACATCTGCTTAGTAAGTACTTGGGTGTCACAGGGATGTTTTGTGAACTCATGGGTCCACCCCCTTCTGCAGAAGACATCCTCTGAAGGACCCCAGACCTAGTTCTCTCTCTCCAAGATGAGCCTCAAGATGAGCCATGGAAAACATTCTGAGCAACACCCTGAAGAGCCCAGCAACCTTGCCATTAGGTCGTATCTTTCAATAGGGAAACAATTTGACACTGCTAATCTGAAAAAGGAACAACTTATCTACTACTGCAATGTAGTTTGGGTCCAGTACAAACTAGGGAATGGTGAGAGATGGGTAAAGGATGACATTTTAAATTATGACACTACTTTGCAGGTAATTTCTGCAAAAAAACATGGAAAGTGAAATCCCGTGTTCAGGCTTTTGTATCTCTTTATCACTGGAAAAGCCCAGAGACTCTGGTAACTAGCATGGCCCCTCAGGAAGAGGAAGTTATTGATGATGCTGTCCTGAGATCCCCACCTGTCTCTCAGGGGCATATGCATCTCTCCCTCCAGGTTAATAAAAACAATGACACTAGGTGGAGCCCTCAACCTCCTCTTCATAATCCCAAGAAGTGAATACTCAAGAACTCCACCAGAGGCTAGCAATAGGTTCACAGATGGGCCTCCAGGCCTTTGTGACTCAAATGTTGGACTTGACCTTTTCTGTGTTCAAAAATTCGGATTGAACTTCAACAGACACAGCAATAAAATTTTACGCCCAACACACATTCATGATAACCCTACAGAAAATTGGAATAGAAAGTCTTTAGGGCAGGGGATTTAGCTCAGCAGCACAGCGCCTGCCTGGCAAGCTTGAGGTCCTGAGTTTGATCCCCAGTACCAAAAAAAAAAAAAGGTCTTTATCTCAATATGATAAAATCCATCTATGACAAACCAACAGCCAACATCATAGTAAATGGTCAAAAACTGAGAGCTTTCACTCTAAAATCAGGAACAAGACAAAGATATCCACTGTCACCAATTCCTGTTCAATACAGTTCTGGAAACATTAGACAGAGGAATTAGACAAGAAAAAGAAAAAAAGAAGGCTAGGAGAAGAAAAAGTTAAATTATCATTATTTGCTGATGACATGATACTCTACAAAGATCCCAAAAACTCCTCCAAGACTCCTGGAATTAATAGCCAAATTTGGCAGCATAGTCAACACTCAAAAATCAGTAGCCTTTGTGTACACAAATAGCAAACTCCCTGAGCAAGAAATTAGGGAAAGCACACCTTTCATCATAGCATGGTGCATAGGAATCAATCTAATGAAGGAAGTGAAAGGACTACACAATTGACAACTATAGTACTCTGAAAAGAGAAGAGGATATCAGAAAGTGGAAAGGTAGCCTTTGTTCTTGGACAGGCAGAACCAATATAGTAAATGGCCATACTCCAAAAACTGTTGTCACATCTGGGGGAGGGGTGAAGACTACACCATACCACACCACTGCTTTGCTGGAACACGCAGCTACTGGGATCCTTCAGGGATCACAAACAGCAACAGTAATGAATTAGAGAGGCAGAGTTTAAAAATAGCTTATTTGGAAAAGAGTGGGGGTGGGGGAAGAAGGCAAGACAATACTCTGCAAGAGTAGGGAGCATCAGAAAGTGAATACCTCTGGGATTTTGTCCTCGGTTCCTTTTGATTTAGGACTAATGATTTCTCCCATTCCCCACATGGGTACCTGGGAGTCCTTGCCATCTGACTAGCTCTCTGGCCACCTTTGATCCTAACCTTGGACATCTGTCTACAGTCTTTCTGGCCAATTTCTTCCTGTTGCATTGTGATGGATAAATGTGGGGGGGGTATGAAAAGGTATTGTAGACTTAATGATTAAGTAAGGGGACATCTGTGTTTTATATTAAATAGGAGTCCTTAGGTAGCTGGCCCTTGTCTCCTTTGCATTTTATCAGGTGGGGGCTTGGTTACCCTGGCCTTCTCTTGTTCTTGGCTACATCCCAGTTTTGCCTATTGACTCTTCCTTTTCTCTTCCCCCTACCCCCTCCGTGTTCCCCTTCTCATTTGAACATTTTCTCCCTACTTCCCAGTATCTATCATCTGTTTGGTCCTCATTTACCCTTTCAATTCTCACTCCAGAGAAACAATGCAATATTTAAACCTGTGTCTGATTTATTTCACTACAAAGTGTGTCTCAAACATGCTTCAAGTGTGTCCTTCTTTATGGCAGAGTAGTACTTCATTGTATACAAACACATTTTCTTTAGCCATTCATCTGTTGATGGGCATATGAGCTGTCTCCAAGACTTAGCTATTACAAGTTGTGCTGCTATAAACATGGGTGTGCATATATCACTGTGGTATGATGCTTTTCATTCTTTGGAAAAATACCTAGAAGGGGAATAGCTGACTCAAATAGAACTTAGTTAGTTTTTTGAGAACTTTTCATACTGATTTCCATATTGGTTGTACCAAGTTACACTCCCACCAACAGTGGAGAAGGGTTTTTCTCCCACAGCTTCACTAGTATTTGTTATTGGTTGGTTTCTTGATGATAGCTATTCTGACAAGATTGGGCACATTTAGGGTGGTATGGTTCTAGGCTCTTTCTGGAGTGTGATGGAATCTCAGCGATGTTTTAATTTGCATTTCTTGAATGACCGCTGATGTTGAACATTTTTTTCATATATTTGCTGTGTGCACTTCATCTGAGAAATGTTTATTCCAGATGCCTATTATTAAATTGGGTCTTTAAAAGTGTGTGTGGGGGGGTCTGACTTTGAGTTCTTTATATATTCTAGATGTTAGTCCTTTGTCTGGGGAATAGCTGGTAAAATTCTTTCCCATTCTGTGGGTTGTCTCTTCACTCTGTTGGTGGTTTCTTTTGCTGTGCATTGATAATTCTAATGAATAATTAAAACTAGAAAAACTCCTTACATGAGGAATCTAAAATGTTTTTGGTAATTGAAGCAATAGTATACCTATACAAAATAAGAAATTAGCAACCTATTTTAAATCAGGTATTGGTGGAAAATTGGTATGAAAAGCAAATAGAGCTTTATTATTTTTTCAGATTACTTGGGAACCTTGTACTCTATTGAGCTGGGATTTCCCTTGCTGCTTTTTGGCTTTTGTAGTTGTCTTTCAGGAATGTGTGGTTTGAATGAATTTAAGCTTGATCCAAATCAAATTGCCTATAGTGGTTTAATGGACACTGACAGACCTGAGTTGGAGAAACAAAACTGGCATTTAAAAGGAATTAAATTCATGTTAAGTGTGGACTCATGGAGGATTGGACAGATGCTGGGTCATTCCTCAGTTTCAAGATTCCATTGTTGGAAGTTCCATCATTCATCATGGAGTAGGAAAAACGAAAGGAACTGTGGGAAAATATTTGTGTGGCAACTATCTTAAAATTGCTAAAATGACTGACAGCCAATGTTTGGCTTGTCACGCCCTCAATCCTGGGAAGACAAAACTGCAGGTGGTGCATTTCTGCTACCCAATGCTCAGTCTTCTGGAAAGGTTGAGCGGTAGCACTTTGAAAATGGCAAGTTCAGTGGGCTGCCTTGGCCAAAGGTACTGTAATTATTATCATTATTTTTTTTTGGTACCAGGTATCGAACCTTATGTATCCCCTACTTTCCTAAACTCTATATGAATAAATGCAAGGCTTTAATGCACTGTGCCATGGCATATTTCCACCAGGTAATCGAAGCTCTTTGTGACCCTTCAACTGCCAACTCATCTTTCATGATCTTCAACCTTAAGACTGGGTCTTCTGGGCCGTGGATTTAGCTCAATGGTTCTGCCGCCTGCCTCCCAAGCGCAAGGTCCCAAGTTCGATCCCCAGTACCAAAATAAACCAAACCCCAAAAACAAAAACAAAAAAAGGCTGGGTCTTCTAGAAAAGAAATCAAAGACTGCTCTTGAACCCTGTTAGAGACTTCAAGTCCTTCTCATAGTCTACACTGCAGCCAACCTTCAGGGCCTCTAACCCTGTTGGAGACTAGGCCAAAGCTGACTTGAGAAATTTCTCCAGTAGATGACTTAGATGTGGACAGCTCTTCCCAAGAGATCAGATCAAAACTCCCCACCACAGTGAGACTTTTGCACCTTTTAATTTTTCCTTGCTTACGTCTGTATCTCATTTGAAAGGATTATGCTGTAATCAGACTTCCAGACCCTCCTAGCATTTGTTCATACTCCAATTATTTACACTGGAAATGAGGTATATTTACTAGGGAGGAGCCTTTAGTTGGTAATACTTCTATATATTCTAGATATATGCCCTGGATGTTACAGAGACTCAGTCATAAAAGAATTAAATAGGAGCTGGGTGTGGTGGTGCACATCTGTGATTCCAGCACTTGGGAGGCTGAGGTGGGAGGATGACCATGAGTTTAAGGTCAGCCTGGGCAACATAGTGAGTTCAAGGCCATGCTGAACTACAGGGTTAGATATTGTCTCAAAAAACCAAAAAAAAGTTATTTGATTAGGACAGATACAACTGGCCATTCTGTGATGATTTGGTTTAGGCTGTTTTGGTTCATGGGGGCCCTTGCTGAGACGCAAACTTCTGGTATTAGCCTCCTGCTGGAGTAATAGCAGTCTCCCTGTATGGTAGTTTTATGTGTAGCTATCTGCTGAATGTGAAATGATCTCTTTGGCTGGAGTAGGAACTTAAAGAACTGTGGGTGGCACATGAAGCCCAGGGTGAGGCTGACTCCGAGAAGGTGAGTGAAAGAAGAAGTTTATTAAAATTTGTGGGAGGTCACGATTTAGCTGGGCCACCTGCAATGGGCCCAACAAACCAATACTGAGCTTAATGACAATAACTGGGTTAACTCATTGAGCTGCTGACATGTGACTGGTGGATCAAGCTGTAGCAATTAAATTCTATACCTCACTTCCATTTTTCGGTGATTCATGTTGTTGGAATTCTCTGAACCTGATCTGTAAATCCTTTTTGTTGTCTCTGCTACTATCTGTCCTAACTGGCCTAAGGAATTCTTCCTTTTACCACTAGTGAAGACTGATGTCACGGCTCATTCCAATTGGGATAACTAATCATATGGGATCCTGAAGCCAATCCCTAAATGAGACTTGCGAGCTGCAGTTTTTTAAATAAAGCAGCAGGTTGTCCATCTGATCTGAATAAGGAAGCCGACTCCACCAAATCCACAACTTTTGCTGAGCAGCAGAAATGAGCCTGACCTCTTTGCATATGTTGAAGTGACAGCCAGGTATTAAAGACTCAGCAGTCACCCTCCAGCCCATGGCCTGTGAGCGAGCAACAGCAGTTCTGGGAACCAGCACCATGAGGACACTGGGATTCTTTTTTTCCACTACTGAGGATTGAACCCAGGGCCTGTGCACTGAGTTATATCCCCCAACCCCCACCTTAAATTCTGAAATGGGGTCTCATTAAGTTAACAAGCTGCCCAGGTTGGACTTGAACTTGTGATCTTTCTGCCTCAGCCTCCCAGAGTGTTGGGATTACAGGTTTGAGCCACTGTGCCAGCTCTGTACTATCACTTTTAAGGAGGTGAATGCTGATAGTCATTACTTGAGTAATATATTAGACAAAGTAAAGGATACACATTTTAGCTTCTTATTCCTAAAAATGTGTCTCACCAACATTAACAGAATAAGTTGGGTGTGGTGGTACACATCAGTAATCCCAGGACTCTGGGAGTCCAAGGCTGGAGGACCATAAGTTTGAGTCCAGCTCAGGCAACTTAGTGAGACCCCTTCTCAAAATAGACAAGAGGGCTGGGGATATGGCTCAGTGCAAGGACCCAGGGTTTAATCCCTAGTACCACATACACAAAGTAAAGTAGACTAGCCCCAGCTATAGATGGGGTCTTCCACAGTTGTGCCTACAAACACCAGGCTAAACAAAAAAGCAAGCTTGAAAAGCTCATTTCCAGCCGGTGATTTTCAGGAGCCCACACACCTTCACTGTCTTCATATAAAAGTATCTGAGGCACTCAAACAGCAAGTCTACTCAAATATGCTTCCCAAGCAGCTTTTCTGTACATTTCCACTGCTTGCAGGTGATTGGGTGCAGACAGTATGCCTCGGCCCACAATGATGATGTCAGAACCTCGTCTGCCAATAACTTCTTGGGGACTGTTGTACTGCTGGCCAAGATGATCCCCTGTAGAAAAACAAGTTAGTTAAAATACAAAAACCAAGAAACCTGGCACATGACTCCTTTACAACAATATGTAACCAGCTTTCAATAAAAATATGCTCCTGCTTTCTACCTTCCTTCTGCAGAGCAAGAGGCCAATGCAGGAGGTGATGGTTCCTTGGATTGTACAAGCCCTTCACAGTAAAGATGCCAAATGCCTCCTTCCCAGTGTCAGTAAATCTAGAGCATTTACAGTTCAACTATGGCAAGAAGCAGGTAAATGTCCTATACAGCCAAGAAAGGTTCAGTAACAACAACAACAAAAAAGTTATACTTGGTGTCACAACTGAAGGAAATGCTAATATTCTTCTCCATCACTGTGATGCACAGTTGGTAAAGTCCCACAAGGCATGTGCCCTGACCACCTCCATCCAGGTGACCCTTTCTATGCTCCACCCCTGCAAATAAGTGCTCAAAAACTAAGCCTTAAATGGTGGTTTTGTTCTTTATTAAATCCTGCTGTTGTAGAAGAATTCTGTTAGATGGCTTATGCTACTTTACATATCCCTAAAAGCCGAGATCTTAGCTGCACTAGCTACTCAAACTGGGACTACAAGTAACACCGCCAGCTGCCAAGTACAGAGAGTTACCACAGATGCTCCACACATCCAGACATCTCCATGCCCTAACACCTATCAGTACCACCCTATACTTATAGGATCAGTCCTATTATCCCCATTTTACAGATTGGGAAAATGAGATTAAAGGTGATTTGTCTGAAGACATGCTTAGCAAATTCAAGGACCAGAAACCCAAAGCCATCTGACTCAAAACACTTAGCACAAATATGAAGTTTAAAAAATAAGGGCTAGGGCCAGGAATTTAGTTCAGTGGTTCTGTTGCCTGCCTCTCAAGTGCAAGGTCCCGAGTTCAATCCCCAGTACCAAAAAAAAGGGCTAGGGATGTACAGTGGATCCTGGAGTTATGAACTCAATTCATTTGCGAGGGCTGGTTGCAACTCAAGTTGGTCAATTGAAGGTTCAGGCTCCTCTACACAGCCTTCAAAGTCTCTCTCCTCTATACAGGCAGATCTCAGTGTCCTTAGAGAGACATTGGCTGAGGATTTCTCAACCCCACACAGGAAAGGATGTTGTAATGTTCCTTCCAGAACTCTTTAAGGGTTAAATCTGTATCTGAGACCATCTGGAAGCACAAGTGGCCAGCATTTGGGTCGCTACTCAAGACTTTGGTCGTAAGTTAAAACTACAAATCTGGTTGTAACCCAAGTTGTTCATATGTCAGGCTGGTCTAACTTGACCGGTTGTGGCTCAGTGTAGAACTTGCCTAGCAAATGCAAGAGCCTGGCTTTGATCCCCAATACCACAAAACAAAAAACGTGTATTTTTATAACCTAGATTACTCCTTTATTGAACAGAAGACCGTCAAAAAGAAGACTCGCTCTACTCTTTGGGCTCTGTAAGGAAACGGGTGCTTATCTTTTAATCTAGGGTTTTCCACACTAGAGAACAGCATACCTTCTTTTGGCAGCACATTCAAAGCACCAGTTGGAAAACACTAACCTAAAATGCCAGTTTCCTGGGCATAATTCAACAAGTAGCTTTCTCAATTTTTAACCTAAAACTAGTCTGCAAGCTGTTTTGCAAATATGACAGTTATCGCCAGGCCAAAGAGCTCATTCCTCATTGTTTAGACTAGGAATGATTCTCTTTAGCAATTTTATAATAACATGCAAAGTTGTATTCTGCCTGACATAGGTTAAAAAAAGCATTTCCCAAAGAGCCATTACTATAGACAGCTAAGTTAGAAATTATATACAGTCAGAGAAGGTCTGGGCTTTCAAGGCAGTGAGCAGAAAGAATAAAAACATCAGAATTGTTGCTGGAGGCACATCTGAAGAAGGTCAGGCCTACATGCCTCCCTAAGGGATAAGCAGTAACTTGGAATTCGTTTTCTTTTTGGCTCTTTTTGAGATTTCCATGGAAAAACCATCTATGTAAGTTTTCAGGGTCTGTTTTCAATAATCACTTCATGATTGGTTAAATAAACTATTATATATTTGGACCTATATGTACATATACATCTAAAAACAAGCTATGCTGTGAGTCTAAGCTTTATAGAGTTAAGACTAAGTTTAATACAAAGTAACTAATAGGTACTCTCTTTTATACATGTTTAGACCTTAAACATATAAAATGATCAAAATTTGACATCTCTTTAAATTGGTCCTGACATTTAAAGTTGATCTACAAGCATTTGGAGCTGTGAATATGTCCTTAATTCTTGTCAATAGAGTATTGTTAACCTCGTGATATATTAAATGGTACATTTGTTTCCCAAGTATACAGGGCTTCAAAGACAAAAAACTGAAAAACATCTTATATTGGTGACTTCCAGGTTAAAGATATTTATGGTGGTAAACTTTTTAGGCTCAAACATTTGGCATTCCCCTATTTGTGTTCCAGCTATTAGTGATAAAAATATTCATGCCAATACAGCATGAGACAGCCAGCTAGATGATGCAAATATCTTTTCAGACTTGCTTGTTAAGTTTATAACCTAAACACTATACAGTCCAGACAATGTCGCTCTAATGATTAGACATTAATAATCTGTAAAGTACATCTATAAGGAAGTACATTCCATTTGAATGTCATTAAAAAAGGGTTAAAAGATATCAATAAACTTTTACATAATTTGTTATCATGTAATTAGATAACTGACTAAAAAGCTATTTTATACTAAGATATACATTTAAATGTATTTCAGAGATAATAATGTCATTAGGATTGTCATGCTAAAATGCTATGAGGCTCCTGATCTCATTTTCTCTGTAAAACTTTATAATCATTATCTGTTAGAGGGGATTCAACTTCTAGGACAACAATAATTGGTAAAGAAGTAATAGTTTGGGCATGGTGGTGCATGCCTGTAATCCCAGCACTTGGGAGACTGAGGCAGGAGGATTGCAGTGAGTTTAAGGATAGCTTGGGCTACATGGCAAGATGCTACCTCAAAAAATACAAACCAAACCAAGAAGTAACAGTTCATTGGTTATACTATATATTTCAAGGTGCTCGATATTTAGATAAGATCATAAGATATAATGTTGATGTAACCAATCTTCTCTTCTGGGTGTTTAATCACTAATGTTTGGAGACCAACACTAGAAAGATAACTAGGCTAAGAGGACAGCCAATATTTTGGTCCTGGCCCTCCAAGGTCAAGGACATGAAGGACCTCTTCTATAGGATCCTACAATTTTGGTGAGTCATCCAACCTCTAGAGAACGGAGACTGCTGGGCCCCAGAGACCAAGAGTCAACAAATGCAGTGTTCCAAAAAGGGTCACCAAAGACAGAAATGTCTTCCATACTTCCACAGAAAGCCACATGGTCAAGCAAGACTGTGACTCATCCTGGTGGGTGACACTAACAGGAGCTGAGAGATTATATACATGGTTCCAAAAGTAACACCTGAGGAAACATAACTGACCTTGCTAGGCAGTAGGAGGTTAATTTTGATTAACACAAGTCTCACTTTAACTTGGTCTTAAACACCCAGCAGAAAAGTATAGCTTAAAGATGCTTAAAAATAATACTATAGTAATGAAGGCTAGATATAGCAGTGTCTGGACATAGCTCTTTTCCTCAATCTGCCTTTTCATTCTAGTGCTCATACTTTCATTCTACGTGCTTTAATCTCTTGGAAAATTTGTTTATTCTCACCTAGAGGGTGCCAAACTCCATGTGATTGTGAAGATGAAACCAAGGATAAATGAGCCAGACTTTTACTGGGATCCACTAGATCAACCTTCTAAAGGGAGTTCATAACTGTTAAACCCTAACACCATAGCTCTCTGGAGAAGGCCCCTGACTGCAGTCTTCCCTACACTGATCCCTCTCAACTCAGAGCAGTTAGATTGAAACTTGGCCCATTCTCCCTAACCGCAGTTAGGGATAGCTTCAGAAGGGGGAATATTATAGACAGCTAAGTTAGATAGAATTAATATACAGTCAGAGAGGGACTGGGCTCTCAAGGAAGTCAGCAGAAACAATAAACACATCAGAATTGTGGCTGGAAGCAAATCTGAAGGCCAGGGCTCAAGATAAAGATGGAATGGCCAGACTTACATGCCCCTAGGGGATAAGCAGTAACTTCAAATTATACTATAAATAGCACCACCTCGGCCAGGAAGTCCAGATAGGCACCAGTCACCCAGGAGGGTGACCAGAGCATCTGGACCCATCCCTTTCCCCAAATACCTTTGTTCTTTCTGTGTACTCTTGCTGTGACCTGATTCCCTACTGGACCAGTATTAGCTAAGCGGCTATACCTGTAATCCTTTAAGTTGATTGTAGTTTGACCCATGTTATACCCACATTGTGACTTTGCTGTATAAATTACCCCTGACAAAGGGGCAACCCACTTTTGGGTCCCTGCCTGTCTCTTAGGAGCTATCTCTCAATAAGCTTTTCCTACTCTTAACCTGTTATTCCTTAGAATTCATTCTTTGATTTTGGGGGACACGAATTCAGCATATCTAATATCTAGTGGGTTGGGAGTTATATTTATTTTTTCAAAGTGGAAATATTTTATTGCTTTTAGTAATTAAAAAGGTAAATGTAGCTGTTCTTACAAAGCGTTAAACTGTACAGAAATATACAAAGTATAAAATTAAAGACTCCATAATCCCACTCTTACATAATCAACCACAGAATTACAGGAAGATTTACTCATAAATACAAAGAAACGTAATAAATACATGAAAAACTTACAAGATCATTTACCAAAAACAAACAGTAAATATGGATTTAATTGAAACTGCCACATTTGGGAGGTGGAGTAAGGCAATGGGGGCAGTGTGATGGGTTCGAAAATCCTCCTTTAGCCTTTTATCAGTTGACGGAAATTTAGGCATCTTATTGCAGTGCATATATATAAAACAGCAATGGAAAGTAGTTGCTCCTGGGAACAGAATTTGGTATTGCAGGCAAAGTAGATAGGTATGTCCCGTGTGGCTTTAAGCCTTTTACAGCCACTTTATAATTTTATGTATTTTTTTTTTCTTTTCCTGTTTTTTTGAGGCAGGGTTTTGCTCTGTAATTCAGGCTGGCCTTGAACTCTGTAGGCCAAGCTGGCCTGGAATTCATGGCACCCTCCCATCTCCGCCTCCCAGTGCTGGGATCACAGGTGTGCGCCCCCATGCTGGCTATTTTATGGATATTTATAACTTACATACATGTAGACTGGGAGAAAGCTGAAAGATGATGACCAAGCACCCAGATTTAAAGACAACATCTTTTTGAAGTTTATTAACAGTATTATTAAACCCCTTATTTTTTTAATTCATATGAAGTTTTTATTTTAAAGACTGAATTTATTTCAGAAGTATTTATAAACCAGTGGGACATGACTAAAGCATTTATAATAAAGTTTTCAAATTTTAATACCTACTTTTTTATGGGATAAAAATAGCACTACCATTGTAGTATTTGTTTTGTTTTTATTAAAATTAGTTCTTTTCAAGTTTGATTATTACTAACAAATCCTGAGTTTTAGTACAGGGAGAGTATCCCTTATCCCAAATACTTGCGACCAGCCTGGTGCAGTGGTACTCTCCTTCTAATCCCAGCACTTTGGGGACTGAAGCAGGAGGATCGCCTTAAGTTTGAGGCTAGCCTGGGTTACTACACAGCGAGTTCAAGGCCAGCCTGAACCACACAGGAAGACCCTGTCTCATAACCAAACCAAACAAAAAGATTGGTACCAGAAGTATTTTGGAATATGTACATAAACAGAATGTGATATGTTTTGGATGGAACCTCAGTCTAAGCATGAATTTCACTTATGCTTCATAAATGCCTTCTGTACATAACCTGAAGGCAATTGGATACAGTAGTTTTCATAACGTTGTCCGTGAATCACAGTTGCACAGTGTGGAATTTTCCACTTGAGCATTCTGGATTTTTGGATTAGAGATGTTAAATCTATATGATCTTTTTTCTATACAGGGAATTGAATCCAAGGCCTTCACACTGAGCTATATTGTCAGTGTAACTTTAAAAATTAACTTTTATTTTGCATCAGGGTCTGGCTAACTAGCCAAGTTTCCCAGGCTGGACTTGAACCTGCAGTCCTCCTTCCTCAGCCTCTCAGAGTGCTGGGATTACAGGAGTATGTCACCACACCTAGCTCGAAACATGATCATTTAAAAAATTATTTTTCACCTTCCAAGCACTGTTTTATGGTAAATAATTACTATTTGGTCCTAAGTGTCCTTATAAGCAAATAATTTGTACTGCGGATGGTTTTTATTTTCCTGACACATTATACAACTCTAATCACTGAATTCTTCCTCATCACTGAAGCATGTGCTCTTCTTTATCCTCAGGCGCCGTGAATCCTCTGATGTTGAGGGGCCCCCTGCACTGGGTTTCATTTGTTCTGTTCTTCAGTCTTGGCTGGCTAGGAGGCGATGGCTTGGCTGGCTAGGAGGCGATGGCTTGGCTGAGACTGTCGAGAGCGGGGTCTTCCCCTTAGCCTTCACTTTCTACTGCATCCTCAATTTCTTCTGGTTTGGCAATTTTCTTTTTCTTCTTTTCTTTCTTCGTTGGAGGCTCACATTCTCCAAGCATGTTTTTCAGACAGGCATAACTTAAGTGCCCACTTTCCCCACATTCATAACACTTCAATTTATCAAAGTAGTTTCGCCTTCAGATGAATTCAGCTGCTGTCCCATTGTCAATAACAATGCTTGCCTTTATCACTCTACCAACAAATGTTTGTTGTTTATGGCTCTAGTGCAGTTTTGTCTAGAGTCTTTATCCAAAAATAATATAAGTGCAACCCCTTTACTCTTCCTCATATCTTTGTCTTTCATTATAGTAACCCCAGTATAAGTCGGTGTCTGTCAGGTAGAAGGACAAGTTGGACACATACACTGTGCTCTTACTTGGAACCAAGCCACCACTCATTTCTTCAGGGACAGCAGACCTGGCGCAGCGGGGATTCAACCCTGACTTTTCCTCACCCCTCACAGTGGCCTGGGCATCCAGCGCCCAGACGGGGTTGGCGCAGAGCCCTGGGGTCGCAGCAGCAGAGGGGCCCTGCGCAGCTCCCTTCAGTCGGGCCACACTGGCAGGCGCATGTGTCTGGGAGTTCTATTTTTTCTTATATCACTATGACAAATGAACAGACCTACCTCCTGTTTCCAGTTGAACTCCCGGAGTCAAGTGAAGAAATTCTGGTTTCATGCTTACTCGGGAGCCAGAAATAAAACCAATCACAAATTCACAATGGTGCTCAGCCATTCTAACCTAAATGGAATATAATAGGTCATGTTACAGGAAAATAATCATATAGAGTAATTCTATGAAAGTAAAAAGTCTGCTCTATTAGCTTGAAACTTTTTACATTATCTGAAACAGGTCATCTTAGGTATGAATTGGGATGGTGAAACATATTTGCCTCATTAAGAGCCTAAGACCTCCCTTTCCCCAAAGAACAATAGTTGAAAACATCAATAATCCCATACTACATCCATTAAGATCAGGATGCTGCATACTCCCTGTAATAATGGTCAGTGACCCACCTACTTCCAAAGAATGGGAGTTGTGTAAAGCAGGTACATTTTCAAGAGGTAAACAAAGGAATCTCTCACTTTCACCCTTTTCCTACCTCTTTAGCATTTGCTATTGCCAGTTTCCCCACTTCTACACTATTATTTCACAGGCTCAGCAGCTCTTCCCCAAGACTCACACTGTTCCATTCCAGCACAGCTCCCGGAGGCCAGACCTACATTTCCAGAAATGTCAGGACTTGCACTGACGCCTGGTCCCTCTGCTTCTTTATTTATGCCCTATTCAGTGGTGGGGTTAGAACCTGATTCTAGCACCATTTAAGTCCTAACAGCTATATGTACAGTCTTTGAAATACTGTGGAAAAATAAAAATTTCCATGGTTATGCTTTAAAGTGATCATTATGATTTCTTAAAATATCTGTAAAGGTGCCTTATCCACAGTTCTAGGTGACTATCCAACTATCCAAATAAAAAGAAACATTCTATTTTAGTGCGCAGGGGCCAGGCTGGGTGGGGTCTGTGGTGTCCCTGGCCATTAGAGAGATGCAAATTAATGCTAAGATTTCATCTTACTCCAGAAAGAATGGCAATCATCAAGAAATCTAAAAATAACAACGCTGTTCTGGCTGGGGTGAAAAAGGAACCCTCTGACATTGTTGGCGGGAATATAAACTAATACAACCATTATGGTAATCAGTATGGAGATTTCTCAAAGAACTAAAATTAGAAATTCCATTTGACTCAGCTACCCCCCTTCTAGGTATCTTCCCCAAAGAGTTTAAGACATCATACTACAGCAATACATGTATACCAATGTTTATAGCAGCACAATTCATAACAGCCAAATCCTGGAAACAACCTGTATACCCATCAACAGAAGACTGGATAAAGAAAATGCAGTATCTATATACTCTAATGGAATACTACTCAGCTATAAAGAAAGACAAGTTTGAGACATTTGTAGGAAAGTGGATGAACCTGGAAAATATAATGTTGAGTGAAATCAGACACACAAGCTTGAATACTGTATAATATTTCTCATTTGAGTAAGGCAAAGTAAGAGAAAAATAAAGGAAGGATAGGAGGAGACAAAAGGATGGATCTCTTGCAGATGGGAAAAGGTCCAGAGGACTAAGGGAAAGGGGATGGGGAATCAGGTGGAGCAAAGATATGCCATGTACAGGATCCTAATAACCTCAACATTAGAAGCCATAAGCAGGAACTAATAATATCAACAAGAATGACAAGGGGGAAAGGAAATCTGGACCGGGAGGGAGGAAGAGGATTAAAGGAAACAAGCTCTCATGTACATGTACCAACTCCCCAAGATGACTGTAAAATGCATGTACTGCAAACATGTATTAAAAAAAAGAACCTCTAATATGTGATGAAACAATGCAGCCAGACTCCTCAGCTTCTCCCACAATACCAATCAATACCAAAGACAGAATAAGAGGAAGCCACTTTTTTTTTTTTTGGTAACAGGGATCAAACTTGGGTCCTTGCGCTTGCGCAGCAGGCGGCGAAACCACTGAGCTAAATCCCCGGTCCAGGAAACCACTTTGTATGGGCTGCTGTCCTGAGAACGTGGGACTCAGGAAACAGAAGCTGCATGTCTGGAAAGCTTTTCATTTTCACTTTTACCTCATAGTGAGATGAAGAAGACATCTTAAAAGCAGCTAAAAGTAGATATCTTACTGTCTTCTGTTTCTCTCCGAGTCAATTCAATTCACCTAAGTGTACACTACAAGATACAGAATGCTATTAACTATCAAGGAACACTGTGCAACTGGCATGAACACACTGTCAACAAACAGCAGACAAATCTGGGGAGTGGAGGTGGCAGGGCTCCACAGACTCCCACACCCCGTCACTTACCGCAGCACTAGTGTAGTCCCCGGTGGCCAGGGAGCCAGCAGAGCTCATTTCTGCAATGAGCAGGCAGCCCCGGTGCAGAGGCAGACCCACTTCCTCCAGGCCCTTCACAACTCCTGAGCCTGGCACCACATGGGCATTTACTACATCTGCCCAGGATGCTATTTTAAAGACACCACCTAAGAAGGAGGGAAAAAATATTTGCTGATTCTCAAACAAAACCCTCTATCCTTTTACCCAACCACCCAACTACAATAGGAACAAGCCCCTAGTAACATGTTAATGAAGGAGTCCAACAAGTCAAAAGCTTTAGTGGCATCAGCGCACTTCTCTGCACTTCTCTGTCCACTTAGTAGCTCAGTGAGAGAAGACAGAAAAAATGCTGCAAGTTCTGCATTTTGTGTATCGGTAGCACTGAGGAGACTGCTTTACTTTGCAGTTAGAAGCCTGAGACCATCAAGAAAGCTCATGCCATTAGAAATGGGACTCCTGTGAAGAAGGGTATTTACTGAGGTCAAGGACAGTGACATTCTGACTTTCCTCTTGAAGAAGACAAACTCTGACCCTGCAGGACTCTCAGCAACTTTACTCTATGTTTCTATGTGTTCCTTAGTTATCCTAATTTCAATAGGCAACTATATACATACATTTAAAAAGCCAACAGTAAAAATATGAACTGATTTTTAAAGAAACTACATATAAACCTGAAGAAAGGTTGTGCAACTCTTACTTCAGTCAATGAACTAAGCTAAGCAATGTGACAGTGGTGTGACACCTCTCTGCACACGAAAATAGTCACTTATAGACAGTTACATTCTAAAGAAATGCTCAGGGGATCTGCATGCATTCCTTTAAGAAAAATTAAGTTGCCTCAAAGATGCTCACAATAAGTATTAAATAACATGAGTAAATATCTTTTACAAGGTTAACTGAAAAAAGCATTAAATATGCACAGTATCACAAAACCAGAAATTTTCACAGGATGGGTAGTAGAACCAAACATTTTTTCCAACCTTTTTGAGTCCCCATTTGATACTACAAAACAACTTTTAAAAAAGGAGGTATAACCTTTTCTGCTGCAAATAAATGTTATACTGTTTTTTCATTTTTTCTTATATCTATAATTTTCTGCCAGGAACAACATCTGTCAATTCTAGCCAAACCCAGGCACTCTTTTGGTATCTAGACACTCATTTTTTCAGGTGGATTACCACTGCAGGGTTCTCAGTTCAAGACATTTAAACCTAACCACCTTGCATTTTCAAGAATGGACCTGTGGCCCATGCCAGCAAGGGAAGGTTTCCTAGTATAAGCCAAGGTGGTTGGTTTGGGGTGAACACAGGGAATTTGCCTGAGAAAGAAGTCAACATAGAAGAAAGCAGAACTGAGAGATGGAGAGAAAGCAATTTCAGAAGACATCACTTCAGTTCCTGGATCTGATGGCACTTGATGGCCTGCTCTATGAAAATCAATACAATTCCTTTTTTCCTTCAGCCAGTGTAAGCTGGATTTCTGATCCTTGAAGATTCTTGAACAATACAGGTACTTACCTTCATACTGCTTTTTTACTGTGTTTCCTATATCTGCAAATTTCCGGTCTTCAAATATTAAGAACTCATGCTGTTTTGCCAGAGCTGTCAACTCCTTCATCACATCCAGAGTAAAATCATCCAAAATATCTACATGTGTCTTGAGCATGCAGATACTGGGCCCTAAGGTATTTGCTAGCTGCAACAGCTCCCTGGCCTCTGAAACATCAGCAGACAGACACAGGTTGGTCTCCTTCTTCTGCATAAGCCTGAGAAGCTTTGATGCAACCGGGTGGATCCCGGGCAGCTCTGCACGTGCAGCAAAGCTGAGTTCTTCAGGTGCTTTCTTTATAGCGAGGAGAGAGCCATTCTGATGAGTGGCCGCAAAGACATTCTCCTGAATGAATCGCTTTACTCTCCCAACCATCTCCGCATCAATTTTTTGCTGCTGCTCGAGAATCTCCAGCATTGTGGACAATGTACACACTGAGTGGAGGTGGATCCCATGGGCCTGCAACTTGTCCCTGCCACCCTGCTCCCGGTCCAGGAGCACTATGGCATCGGTGACCTTCAGGCCCTCCTTCTGCAGAGCCTCAATGGTTTCTAGAACACTACCTCCGCTGGTGACCACATCTTCAATGACTAGACAAGTTTCTCCAGGATTAAGCGCTCCTTCTACAAGACGCTTAGTACCTAGAAAAGAAAAAAGGTTGTTCATTCCAATTTTAAACTGGGTGTGGTGGGGCAGGCCTGTAACTCCAGCACTTGAGAAGTTGAGGCAGGAGGATCACTGGGAATTCAAGGCCAGTCTGGGTTACATACTGAGTTCAAGGCCAGCCTGAGCTACACAGTGAGACCTTGTCTCAAACAAAACAAAACAAAACAAAAAGCAACCAATTTTATGTGCATCCAACTCAACATTTATCTTACAGTCTAAATTTGGTATGTACCTAAGAAAAGGTGAATGATCTACAAGTAAATCTTTTCTGTTCATTTACTTTTATTGTTTCCCATGACTCAATTTGCCATGATTGTTTTGTTCAGTGCCTCTATATCCCAAAATTGCCAGTTATGTACAGAACATAGTAAAACTAGCAAAATACCTTGCAGTGTAAATAACTACTAATTAATGTGTTTATGATTAAATTTCCAAATACTGGGTTTCTTAAAGCAAAAATCACCTAGATTTAGTAGTTACAAAACACAGAATAACTGAGGATCATCCATGAAATCGTTTTTTTCCCCCCATCTACAAACTATTTCAAGTTTATCACTTAGATTCACCTGAACAACTGACTTCTGAAAATACAGGGCAATACCTCAGTTCATGAACAAAAGCATTTGGCAAAATTCTGCTTCCATTTGCAAACTCCACATTGGGTGACAAACATGATCACAGCTATCTTCCCCTTACAAACACTACAAACACAGAGGCAGCCATCTTTCCTAAAATCATAAAATAAATTAAGTTCATAAACTGAGGTACTATTGTACATTCAAGCCAGCCATAGTGGTGCATGCCTGTAACTCCAGCACTTGAGGTGGAGACAGGAGGGATTATTAGAAATTCTACGCCCGCCTGGGCTACACAGTCATCAAGGCCAGCCTGAACTACAAAATGAAATTCTGTCTCAAAAATAAACTAAAGGACTTTGGGGAAAATAGCAGAGTGGTGAGCAACAACTCAGCCTCCCTGAGACTCAGAATCCAGACACTGGAAAATAACGTGGGGGGAAAAGAGAGTAGATCCCCAGGAACCAAGAAGGATCTGACAGGAAAATTAAAACCTACAGAGAAATTGAAGAGACAGAACACAACATGCAGAAGGGAAGGGACAGTCTACACTTTCTCCTGGCCCCCTGGCTTAAGGCTCACATGAGAGACTGAATCTACAGAGACTAAGTAAAAGCTGGGGACTCCAGAGGCATTCAGGGAGAAACTTGGCAGTGGAACAGACAAGTAGGTTCTGTGAGATGCAGGGAGAGTGCAGGATTCTGCCCCAACATGAGTCCTTCAACAGGCAACAGCTGGTAAGTGACTCCAGTCCTAGCACCCACCATATCCCTGGACAGAGTGCTTGGCTGGATGCCATTCCCAGGAAGGGTTGATTGTTTGAGTCTGGAACTCAGAGCAGCTTTAGGACTGCTTTACATCAGGGCTCCCAGTGCTACATTCCCACAGTGATGGGGTGAGAGACATCAACAGGAGACAGATGCAGTCAGAAAGTGAGAATCAGGTTGAAAAGGACCCCCTTGGGGCCTGAGGTAAAGGACACAGGCTCTGCTCCCATGGCCAGAGGCCAGCTCAGCCTGAGTTGCTCTGGATGTGAAAGTCAAGGCACTGGCACCCTTGCCCTTGGTGGCTGCAGCCAACATGGATCTGGGGTCTGACTGGCTTCTTTATCTACCAGCATGAGCAAGGACACATCTTCACCTGGATGCTGCCCCAAAATTGTGCATCCTGGAAGAAAACCACACATTCAAAATCACAGAGAAATTTTTTTGTGTTGTTTTTTGTTTTGCAAACGTGTGTGCTATTTTTTGTATGTTTTTTCTTTTTTCCTTTTCCCTTTTCTTCTTCACCAGTTTACTGGACTTTGGGGAATTTTCTTTTTGTCCTTCCCTGCTTCTTATATCTTTTCCTTTTTTTTTTTTTTTGGTACCAGGGATAGAACTTCGTACCTTGCACTTGCAAGGCAGGCAGCAGCACCACTGAGCTACATCCCCAGCCCTCTTTTCCTTATTTTTTCCGTCCCTACCATTTAATTTTTCACTCTTATTTTTACTCCCCATATAATTTCTTTTTTCTCCCTCTTTTACTTTTACCTTCTATTGCTCATTAAGTTTTTTTCACTTACCTTTACCTAATTCTATAAACATCCTTCCACAGTCTGGGCTACATAGTACTTTCAAGGCCAGCCTGAACTACACAGCAAGACCCTGTCTCAAAAATAAATAAATAAACAAATAAAACACCGCCCCCCCCAGCTGCTCAGATACCAAAAAGAAGAGAATATGAAAAATTGATTCAACAGCTGCTAGATGATGCAACAAAGACAACTAAGAGTAATTCTCCACAATGAATGTAATCATTATGTACTACAAACATGTACTAAAAAAAATCCTGGAGAAAATTTTTTAAAAAATAAAATTACATATACATTCATATGCACTATAAGGAAAATATTCTGCAACCTGCACCATTACCACAATCTTAGGAATTATATAATGCAATGTGACTAAATTACTTCTCTGTCCTCAAACTCTACTTGAGAATATTGCCAGATAATCTACAAAACGTAAATAACTCAGGCTACAGACTTTATAGGCTTGTTTTTGCATTTTCTACTACAATTTATCTTGAAAGATAAATTTGAAATAGATAGCATTTTGCCCACCTTTTGAGCTTTACCATGGGTATCCTCTCTGACCTTTCCCAGTTCTTTTAACTCCTTTTGCTCCCCCTGAACAATTATCAAATTTAACTGAATCTACTTAAGAGTAAAATGCAAGACTAAAAATACGCAATATTGAGAGTACTTACAGTTATGCTAATAAATGATTTCATTCTAGAAACATAACATATAAGGAAATGGAAATACTTTCCCTAGCCCGGCTCAGTGGTGCACACCTGTAGTCCCAGCACTCAGGAGGGGAGGCTGAGGCAGGAGGATCGCTAAGAGTTTGAGGCCAGCCTGGGCTACACAGTGAGACCAAGGCCAGCTGACCTACACAGTGTGACTCTGTCTCAAAAAAAGACAAGACAAAAAAAAAAAAATTCTTTATAGGAGAAGATTCAGATAATTTCTCTTTTTTAGCTCAGAAAATTTAATGTTGCCTTTAAGCAGCAAAACCTCAACTGAATATTTGTCTTCTTTTCTTAACAGCAATCTCAAACAAAAGTATATATGTACTGAACACCCACAAATACAGAACCTCATCACTTAACTCATGATCAATCTCGTTTCATCTGTATCCTCATTCATGCCCTCCCCCAAGTTTTATAAGCAAATCCCAGACAGCCTATGATTTACCATAAAAATTTTGAGAGTGATCCATAAGTCTTTAAAATTATACTAACACAAAAAACATTCATTCCTTAATATCACTAATAAATATGAAGTTCATTCCAGTACTTTTAGGTTGGTTTTCAGGTTTTAAAGCAAACCCACTCAATAACCTATTGGCATGGACCCATAAAAAGATATCTTCATGAGGTATTTTTATGAGAGGTACCTTTATGAGAGTACTCTGATTCACACACTGCTCTTGGTGAAGTTTTAATATGACTACACTGGGAAAGGATGCACTCTTAGGGTATGTGCTCATGAGGGAAAGGCCAATACAAATGCTGGAGTTTCAGAAAGGGTGCAAAAAAAGAGCACTTATTCACTTCATTCCCTAATAAATACAAAGCATATTAGCCCTAGACTCTAAAGAATAAGTGATTTATATCAACAATTAACAAATTCCATAGGAGCTAACAACTTAAAAGACCTAGATGAATATTAATATAATTCTAGTAAAACATCAGTGCACAAAGAAAATATTTGAACAGATTACATATTGACAATGTTTATGCTACTTTTACCATAATCCTTTGTTTCTTTCCTTCTAATAAGCATTGGGATTTGATGGGTTGAGCAGATAACTGCAGCCAGTGGCAAAGCTGTGTAAGGTACTCCACACACAGTGTCAAAACTGATTCCTGCATTTTGGGCAGTTTGGAATAAACTATCTGCGACCTGTAAGAAAAGGAACACAACCTATTATAAACTGATACTTCTTAAACCAATTTTTCACTAGTAAACCCTTAGTAATTCACTTTTTCTACATAGAGGAAACACACCATAGCAAGATTCTGGGTGGTGAGAGGTTGCCAGACCAACCACCTCAAGGAGTGCTTCAATTCTTTTAAAATACCTGTCCGTGGTGGGTGACCAACAAACAGAAACCCTGTTTGAGGTAGAGAGAAGGTACATATTCTCTCTTTTTTGGAGGGGGCAATACTGAGGATTAGATCCTGTGAATGCTGAGCTACATCCCCTGCTCCTTTTAATTTTGAGACAGGGTCTTGCTAGATCGCTCAAGCTACCCTCAAAAACGTGCAATTCTCTTGCCTCACCCTCCCACAGTAGTTGAGATTACACGCATGTGCCACCATGCCCAGCCAAAATTTTATATCTTCCATAGAATTTTCTGTTCTGGGATAATTTTTTCCAAACTACCTGTTTATTCTAGGAAGATGATAATGTTCCATATAGTGTCCAATATGGTACCACTAGCCACATACGACTATTTGAATTAAAAATTCATAATGCTGCCTGTAAGCCCAGCACTCTGAAGTAGAAGGATCAAAAAATCCAGCCCAACCTGGGCAATTTAGGAAGATCCTGACAAAACAAATGGGAGAGGGGTAGTGTAGCCCAGTGTAAATGCCCTGGGTTCAACCACCAGTACTAAAAACAAAACAAAAAAACCCAAATCATAATGTTTAATATTGACATATGGCTAGTAGCTACTCTTCCGAACAGCACATTTAAACCTACTCAAAGTGTGGTCTGCAGTTTTGGCTTGCAGCTTGTTAGAAATGCAAAATCTCTTGCCTGATGTAGTGGTGTGCACCCGTAATCCCAGCACTCAGGAGGCTGAGGCAGGAGGATCGCTTCAAGTTTGAAACCAGCACAGGCTACACAGAAGAGTGCAAGGCCAACCTGAACTACATAGCGAAACTCTGTCTCAAAAAAGAAATGCACAATCTCAAGGCCCTACCCTCAGGGCACCTGAACCCAATCTCACATTTTAACAAAATTTCCAGGTGTTTCACATATACTCAAGTTCAGGAAGCACTGTGCTAGAAACCTCTGTTGGGGACAAACTTTACTACTTATACTGACCAAAAAAACTGCCTCCTTGATGCCCACTGTCTGGCCTTAGTTCTTACTCCTGACCACACAATACAAAATTGAATCCCCCTTTTTAAGCAACAGCCTTTCCAAATATTTCACTCTCCCGCCCACCCAGGTTTTCCTTTCTTCCTTAACTCTCACTTTCTGGGATCTAAAAACACACGACTGAAGCCGGTTGTGGTGGTCCCAGCACTCAGGAGGCTGAGGCAGGAGGACTGCTGTGAGTTCGAGGCCAGCCTGGGCTACATAGTGAAACCCTGTCTCAAAAAACTAAAATAAATAAAGAAATAAATAAATGAAAAGAAAGAAAGAGAAAACTACAAAGGAAGAAAGAAGAAAGGAAGAAAGAAAGAAAGAAACTACACAGCCAGGAGTTCTCTACCCAAACCGGGTTTCCCAACTCTTCCAAAGCTCGTGTCAAAGTCACTCAGTCAACGTACCCCTCAAACCCAACAATGTTTGGCCTGTGTTTCTCAAACCTACTCCCCAGACTGACAGCCGGGTGGGCTTGCCTGCTTGGCTCGCCTGCCTTCGCCCACAGCCCAACCCCTGTCACCTTCCTCCATCTGCAGGTCTCCTTCCCGCCACCCAGGGCTGTCCTTCCTCTTCGAGCTGGTACCTGACTGAGAAGACGCGGTCGAGATATGATCCCTCGCAGATCGATGTAAACGGGGGAGGAGAGCCCGCTCTTCAGTACGAAATCCCCAAACTTGAAAGCCTGCACTTCGTACAGGGCCGTCACCAGATGTCCTAAAGTAGCGCCCACTGCCGCCATGCTTGAACGCTCCCAGTCTGGACCAGCGCGCCCGCCGGCGGCCGTGTGACATCACCGGAGGTCCCGCCCCCTTCCACCGCCCCTTCCGGCCGGGACGAGGTCCAGGGGCCGCCTGGGGGCTCAGGGCTAAAGCCCGGACACCTTGGCTGGCTCTGGTCATGAGGCTGGCTCTGGTGATGAGGCTGGCTCTAGCAGGAGAGTTTGTGTAGACTCTGCCCAGTTTTTCTAGCTCAGTGTCCCCTCGATGATTCTTAGTTATCGCTATTCCTTGACATCACGCGCCAGTTATTAGCCCGTTACCCTCTCCCAAGGCTTCGGGAAGACGTCGGATGTTAACTTCCCAGCAGCTGTAAGAGACGTGATAGTAATTTGCACGCGGAAACTCGAAGGCCTGAGCAGATCATTGTTCATGACCTCTGCTGCGGGGTGCGGCCGGCAGGAAGGAAAGGAGATGAGGCAGGGAAACGGGAGTTGGGGGACCGGAGTTGATCGGTGTCCGGGTTATCCGGGAGAGTGATGCTGCTGGCCAGCCTGAAAACGCACGCCCGTCTATCTGGTTTACAAATTAATCCTGCAGAGAGGTTCTCCATTCGGGGTGGAAGACAATACCTTATCCTAATTTAAGGAAAATAGCCCATTAAAACCACAGGGCCCATGATACTAATTCATCAAACTGATTCTGATTTTATTTCTATATTCTTATGCGTGTTTTCTCTGAGGAGATTGTGCTGAACGACCAATGCAAAAAGCTTGTGCTTTTTTGTTTTTGATGTACTGGGGATTGAACCCAGGACCTCACACAGGTTAGGCAAGCGCACTACCACTGAACTCCCCAGCTCAGGCCGGTGCTTTTGATACTTACTTCTCCTTGTAAGTTAATGAAGTAGCTGGGCGTGGTGGTGCACACCTGTGATCTCAGCACTCAGGAGGTTGAGGCAGGAGGATCGCTGAGAATTCGAGGCCAGCCTTGACTATGTAGTGAGACCCTGTCTTATAAGTAAATAAATAAATAAATGTCACCTGATTAAGAGGTTTCCAAAACTGAGATGAGGTCTTAACCCACCCTAAGCACAGAATGTTTAGAGGTTCACTGACTTCCCAAGTAGCATAATAATCTTTAGGACGAATCAAAGGGAAGGGAAGGGTTTACTAGGCAGAGCTTTTCGTAGGCACTCACAGAAGTGGGACTCCTTATGAGCTGGAGCTGGGTGTACTTTATTTATGGGGCCTGGGGGGCGTTCTCAAGATGGACGCTGGAGGATGTGCATTCCTTTTGTCCTTGGCTTACCTTCCCATCTGCAGGCTATGTTGGTGCAAACCATTTACAATAATATGATTGAAATTGAGCTCCGTGTGTGTGTGTGTGTGTAAAATTTTTTCTTTTATCCTACTTCAAAACCTTGATGAAATAGAAGGCAAGTGCTGAAATATTTTTGTTCCTATTGGCAAAGTAAGCTACTCAAAACATTTAAGCCAGGTGTGGTGGTGTACTGCTATAATCCCAGCACTTAGAGTGGCTGAGGCAGGAGGATTGCCAGGAGTTTGAGGCCAGCCTGGATGACATAGTGAGTTCAAGGCCAGCCTGCAGTACATAGCAAGACTGTGTCCCCAAAACAAAACAAATTTCAATCTTTAACACTCTAGCTAATCAGTAGTGAACTATGGATTGCCTCATTTGCACCTGGGTAGCATATGCAGACTTTCGAAGTCTGATCAGGTCTGCATAGGCTGCCCCAGGTTCCTGGAGTCCACAACAGAATGCATAAATGTGTGGAATCCAGCCCAAAAGGTCTGCCAACTTTCAGTACAGTGTTACCAGGTGGGACACCAGAACGTTGTCCACAACACACCTGAAGCTTCCTTAGATAGCAAAATGCTTTAGACTGTTTCTTTAGGGCATGAAATTGTTTTCTTTCTTAAAATCTGGGCAAAGCTGTCTTAATAATAATATGATATTTTTGCTTGTCAAAGGCTTTCACATATTTGGGGGAAAAATTACTCTTTGAGCAAATAATTTAATTTAAAAAGACAACCAAAAGTAATGTCTTTAGTATAGTATATTTATAGGAATGCATAACATATGAGATGTACATTTTGAAGTTTCATTCATAACATAACATTTACTGTAGTAATAATAACAAGACAGCAGATCATCACTTTACAACATTACACATGAATGAGTTTGACTTACAAATAAAATATTTACAACCTACCTTTACAAAACGACATTGTGTGCATACAAAATGAACAACTGCAGAAAAATTTAAAAATGATAAAACAACAAAAACCCAGAAGATACACTTAAGGCAGACCAGCAAGACACTGAAATAATTAAGGCTGTGGAATTCTTCTGCACCTTGAAAATATAGAGCTATTTATCAATACTGTGGAGTGTTTTAAAATCAAGTGTTACAAGCCTGATGGAAGTATGTACTTATATGTATATGTATAATGGTCCCTATGGGGAAACCTGTCCACTATGGATAAGGCCCTTTATCTGAATAGTCAGAGAAGCCCACCAAAAATTTGCAAAAGACTTGTGAGGAGGTCACTCAAAACCAAGAGGTGCCAATGTAATTTGCAAACCAAATATGAATAATTCAAATATAAAGAGACCTCTGAGTCTAGGTAAACAAATAGCCTAAATGATGGTCCTGCTGTTTCACATTTTGTTAGTTGGCTCTGTGGACTTCAAAGGACAGCAAATTCCTACTGAGCAGAGTTTGTCTCCACAAATTAGCCCTAATGGTTTTGAATGGCCCTGAATGGTTTTCCAGTAAAAACACTGTCCTACCTGGGCTGTCTGCAAATGGATAGATTTCTGCATATGAGCAATAACATATACATACATATTATACACTATGTACATGTACAGATGTACACATATCTATATTTTCCAACAGTTGCACTTGGATCACTACTGCTCTCTGAATAGGATCTCATTGTCAAGAGTATGTTCAGCTTTTTCACAGTCTTTGTATTTGTCCTACCATTAGTTTTACTCACCTTCCCCATAGAGTAGGCTGAAGTTTTGGCAGAAACAGAAATAAAAGCACCAGGGTAAAAAAAAAAAATCCAACAAAATAATGACAGATATGGCTTAAATTAGTAAGAGAAGATATATGTTTTGTTAACTTCAAATTCATAGCCACAGTCTATGAGGTCATGGTAACAGTCTCCATAGTACCCCAGAACATGGGTTAGGTTCCTGATGGGAGTCAGGGATTGATGGGACTCCTATGTTGCTAACCCTGGACTAGCAAATCCACCTGGTTAAATTAAACATCAGGAGTTGGCATTCCAAACATTGGTATTTGCACTTTTTCTACCATTCTCCCTTTTCTCGCTAACCTCATTTTCTGAAATAAGTTATCTGACTAAACTGTTATTTTGATCATTTGAATAAAAACTACACCTGACCACATTTGAGAATGTCTCTACAAACAGGCTGATAGGAAATCACAATAGCCTGTGAGTATTAAATTTAGGCTTTCCATAAATGTCCTTTAAAAATGAAACATTACCTTAGAGTTACTGTTTTTTTTCCTCTCCTCTAACTTCTCTCTATATATTCAGTATATATATTGAAAATAAGGAAGAAATCCCATTCATAAAAATATGGCCTTATGAGACTTCTGTATAGATTTTTCATGTGAACAACATGATTAAAAACATCTAGTGCTATGGACATATTTCAGTCCTTTTTAACCCTCTAGAATTAATGAAACTGAGAGCTTTACTGTTTTCAAAAAATAAATATTAACATAGAGTTTCCTTTTTCTTGAGGGAGCATGTTCTGTTTTCCCTAAGCCTACCCCCAGCCTAATCATTCATTCCCAAAAGATCTCTAGATTTTAAGTAGCAAAGAAAGATCATGATGCAGTTTTACAAATAAATCCACTGAAAGCTCACACTCTGTGTTTGCCTGACTCAGACTCCACAGGGATGCTAGCCAGAAGAGAAAGGATTACAGTCTACATTCCTCAAAACCCATCTAGTACAATTCATACAATTCGCTGGCTATCCCGAATAAGGGAGTGGTGAGTCTGCATTCTTGCCCTACTACAGAGACCCTTTATGTTCAAAATATTTCCTCCTCTATCAAATGCATCAGAGAAAGTTTTAGTTGATGCACCATTTAGTTTACGTCATATTTGTTCCTTCATATTCTCACAAGTCTAAATTTCCATGTTCTTCCACATAGGCAAGAAAAAAAAGTAATGACTGACTCACAGGCTGTATCAAATCATGGAGGCTATGGAACCACAAATATGCTATTCCTGAAAGACCTAACTGTCCAAAAAAAAAGAAATTGATCCAAGTGTTCCCTCCAAAAACCAACAGCCCAATTCATTTCTATCCCTGGGCACCTATTTTGGCTCTTCTAATAGGTTCTTGTGAGACTAAAGATACGAATGGTGATGATATTGGAAGATATACTGTCCTCACTTCTGCTATCTTAGTGAGGAAATTGGCTGTTTGGGTTCTTCTCTGTCCATTTTGCCAGAGCGTAAAGCTTGAGAAGCGAAGGTAACTTTGCATCTTAATCTTCTCATCTCCCATAAGAAATAGTGGAGAAAACAGTTTATGGACCTGAGACTTCATCAGCTCTCCTAATCTTTGTCTGTAGACAAGCTTTTAAATGACCAAAATTATAGGGTAAAACCAAATAACATTTAGACAAAGAGCACGTACTACTTCCAATAGAAGCACTTTATAGAATTTAACCTCATGAGTTTGTAAATGGTATCTAAAGACATGAATATTGAAAACCTGGAATGTTCAAAGTTACTATCAATAAAATTCTTAGCACTGGCAGTGTGTAGCACTTTTAAAAAATGAGAGCATTTTATAGATGTCTCAACAATAGTATTTTCTCAACATTCCTATGTGATTAGTGTCCTTCATCCTCCCCACACCCACCCACTACCATTTTAACAATGGGGATGTGTGGGGCGGCAAACAACAAAAACTTTCTGTTAGAAAGCATGAATCTGGAATAGTGAGGCAGAAGCTCAAGAATTCCTGGTCCTGTTCTATATTCAGCAGTTTCCATTTAAAAGATACTTTAAAATAAAGAAAAATACTGCAATGCTAGTCAATCTAAATGCAGTGGACTTCTTCATTTCCCATCCTCCCCTCCAAAAGGCACTACTATTTATAAAGTCTTTGTGAACCACAAAGCGTTGAAGCCAACTTTCTCCTCTGCCTCCATCACTTCCTTTTAGATTGCTTACAGCTGGGAGCAGCCTGAAGGACAACTCCAGCATTACAATTACTTTTAAAAAAATGTTTTTCATCACATTCATGTGTAAGTGGATATAAATCTATTTTAAAAATTGAAACAAATGTAAAAGATGACAGAAAATATTATACTTCTTACAAGTAGGTGATTGTGGGTTGTCCCTGATCTTTTCCTTCTTTCTGCACTTCACCCTTAACAATGCAAAAACAAAGACGCTCTAAACTGTATGCAGTGAATGTAAGCCAAGCAAGAAACTTGGGATTTTAATGAACCCTGCCCCTAGTTCAGCTGAAAATTCACTCCTGCTAAGAACTACCATAATTGTAGCGGAAGTGGACTATTTTCTCTCCCCTCTTCTCCACTACCGAGGAATAAATCTCTGCTAAAGCAAGTACAAGAGCATGGTCCCCAATCCTGTCCCCTACCACATTCGCTCACAGAACAACCTAAGCTACATTTCCCAGCCCCACTTTCTGGGATTTCTTGTTATTTCTAGCTTTGGAGAATTCTTGAACTGAGACCATTATCTTATCCCTGTTGGGAGGGACCAGGTGCTGTGCTGATTGGGAGCCTCCCTATTTGTTTCTTCAGTTATCAAACTATGTAAAATATATTCCCTTTTTCTTAGGGCCTCTGTTAAGTTCATTCTACTCTACTGACTGTACTTTGGCTCCAGATAACAAAAATCACACTACTTTTCATTTCCATGTCCCTCCTTCCCTGACTTCCCCAACACATGTACTTGGGGGGCATTCCATGCAGCCCCCTATCAGGATCATCTTGGCTTTGATAGCAAAGCTAATATGAAAGCTGTGCCTCTGTCTAACGTTCTGTCATTCGCCTGCCCTACAACAGGATTTCGGTGCAGGCTTCCTGCTGCAGTCTGTGCACCACTGTCCTGGATGCTGTCATAGCAATTCTGAATGGCTCCAAGGGAAGCTGTTTATCCCAGTCAGCCACGGTGGTCAGAAGAGCATTTGCCAAGCCGTACTTCAGAGGTGAGCTATCCCCTACAAGCCCTGTGGGTGGAGCTTTCCTCTTTCCTGCTTTATGCCATAATGAAAACATGTTTGCTAAAAGGGCTTTTAGTAGACACCGTTGAAATTTTAAAATATCCTGCCATACAGAATTATAGTTGTATACACATCACACTTTAAATGAAGACTGCAGAGGGTTAGAGAGCTCTGAGGGAGGCTTAATGACCTGGGCCCACTCAAAAACTAGGAAACAATACAGTCGGAGCTGGTTTCCATAAATGTGGTCAATTCCCAAAACACTAAGTCCTATCTAGTCTTATTGCTTGTACTTGCTACTAATTTATTAATCTACAATCTTGGATGGGATGAGGTGGAAGGTGGATGAATAAGCTCACTTTGAAACCAAAGGAAAAATATTCTGAGTATTTTTAATTCTCCAGTTTTACTGTGAGGATTTATATATTAAAGGTCAGGCTTAGTTTCCGCCATTCCTTTTTTATTTAAATAGGTTTGTAGTTCTTGTTATTGTTCATGAATTCTCTGCTTGCACTTCTGTGTTGCATGATTTTAATCTTCTCAGTCCCACGAACAGGAGAGAAGTAATGGCTGATTTAAACACACACTTGAGTTATATTTTTAGAATATTATTTGCTTAAAATCAATTTTCAAAACACATTCTAGAAAACAAAGGGTGGGTCATCTACAAACACAAAGTCCAAAAACTCTTTCCCTTACGCACTCCCCAAATAAACCAAAGCAAAACAAACAAACAAAAACCATGAATTGCCCAGGTTTAGTTGCTTTCCCATTAGAGAGAAAAAGGGCAGTTAATAATCTTGTATGGAAAAATACACCAGAAAGCAGCATTGGCCTCCACATGCAATTAGTCCTTTTAGTCCAGAGAAATACTGGTGGCTGAGTGGTGATAAGTATTGCAACCTCAGTTAAAATTCAATGCTCGGTTAGGGTGATGTATCAGGTTTGCTCATGGCTTTAAAAAGGACTTAGGACCAGGCCTGCAAAAGGCTTGTATGGCTGCCTCCTTTTGGTAAGACCCCTACGCTTCAGTGGGGTTAGAAATAAAGCAAGCCAACTTTCTGTAGACGAAGTCAGAAAGTGTTGGTACATTGTTCATAGGAACTGTAGGAAAGGTTTCTCTTTGCCCTTTTGAATGAACCTGTGATAGTCACTTACCTATTTCAAGCCAGGTATAGACATAAAAATAACCCCACAACTCTTCCTGGCTTTGGACTTACTTCCTGGCAGACTTTCCTGCCAGATGAACTGTGAGCCAGTCGTGAATTCGGGGGTATTATTTCATATACAGTACCAATCTTCATCAAATAACCCATGACTGAGAGAAAAAAAAATCTCATTCACAGATTGCAAAAGGGTAACATTGCTTTCTCTTAATGCACAGATTTTGGTAAAAGATTTCTATACAAGATTTATAAAATGCTCTAAAAAATTCGTCATCTAATTGTGCTTAGTCAAAACAATGTAATGCTTCGGTAAGTAAATTACTGTCTTAACTGGAGCACTCTGATTTACTTATGATTGATTTCATATATAACTCTATATTATAAAACTCTGAAACCTGAATGGGGTCTATTACAGTGTATGTGTACATGTAACCTATTAAGAAACTATATCTAAGTCATCTAAACCAGAATAATTGACATATATGACATCTCTGCTAAGTAGAACTTTTGGCTTACATTTTCAGCAAAGCCAGAAGCCTTTCACACTCACCACAGTGAGTTTAAGGCTTGCCCACTTAATCAATCATTTTGGAATGTACAATTAAACATTTTATAACAGCTAGTATTCTTGTTATCCCTGGCCTTTCTTTTAATTCTTTCTGCAGCTCTGCATCTTTATTTCTCAGAATTACCTTCTGGAAAGCCCCTGGGTTTCAGGTGACTTTTACTGCTGCTCAGACCCTGAAAAACCAGCAGCGAGGTGTAAGAGGACATTGCTCACTCCAGAGAGCCACACAGGGTGAAGTAACAGACAGAGTTATTTACAGACAGTCAGTCTTGCTTTGGTTCACACCCCCCATCTATGTGATACCTCAGGGGCTGGGAGATGGCTATGTCCCTTGGTTCACTCTGTTGACAATGTAGCTCTTGACATTGGGAATAGGACGCACATCATTCTGGTGCTTGCGGCGCTCTATGAAGCAGGCCAGGCGGGAGGTGTCCAGGGGGATCTTGGAGTAGCTGCCATTGTGTGGCTGCAGCCACGGGTGCTGCAGGCAAGTGGCTGCTGTGGGCCGCCGGCGGAAGTCTTCCTGTAAGATCACATTGATGAAATCTCTGGCGGCATTGCTCACACCACAGAAGTACTCGTGGGGGAAGCTGAAATCCACCCTGCACACGTTGATGCACGTCTCCTCTTTGCTTTCATCCAGGAAGGGCGAGACCCCGCTCAGCATGACATAGGTCAGAACCCCGATGCTCCAGATATCTGTGCCCAGGGAGACGGGGATGCCTTGGATCACTTCTGGGGCAGCGAACTCGGGATTCCCCAGCAGGTGGTGGATGTGGAAGTGGCCTGAGATCTGGACAGCATCTTCCAAGTCAATGAGCTTCACTCGAGGCACTGGAATCCGAAGGTCAATGAGCAGGTTCTCAGGCTGTAGGGAGGCAGGGGAAAGAGAAGCGAGTTCTGTGTTTTGACTCCCAGTAGGACTCTGTTAGTGAAAACATGCTCCTCCTATTCTTTCATGAGGCCTATGGCACACTGCAAGTGCCCTGGGCAACAGCATGGAAGGCTGCAGTGGGTTTGAACTCACTAACCTCTGAGTGTGGGTTGTACTTCAAAGAAGTTGTTGGACATTGAAAATTTTGGAGGGTTTTTGGATTTGTTTTCGGTGCTGGGGATTGAACTCAGGACCACATGCATGCTAAACACTGAGCTGCAAACCTAAGCCCAAATATCCTGTCTTCTTAACTATCCTTTGCTACAGTGGCTTGTCTTTGAGCAGCATGAGGGGGACATTTATTGGTTTCCTTCTATATCATTAGAATAGGTGGTTAAATCTTCCCAGCCATCTCTCATCCAAGATCTCACTGTGTCTCTGGTGTGTTCTCATTCTTTTATTACTAATGCACCGAAATCTCATCTAAGTAAACGAACTGAGGTTTGTATTTCTTAAGGGTGATGACTGGGAAGTTGGAGCCAGCCGTTTTGCTGCCAGGGTGGCTATTCTTACTACCTTTATGTCCAGGTGTGCAACCCTGCAGTTGTGAAGGTACTGCAGAGCCTCCATGATGTCCCGGATGTAGAAAGCTACTTTCTCCTCCATCAATTCGTCATGATTCATAAGGTAGTCTAAGAGCCGGCCATCATCCATCCTGAAAGGGGATAGGAAAAGGAAAAGGAAATGTTTTTGAAGAATCAGAAAAATGACTCATGTATGAAGTTTTCAAGTCTCTAAGATCTCTCTTCCAGTATTGCAACACATGCAGACCTGAGAACCCAAAGAAAGTGCAATGTTCAGAACTAAAAATAAAGTTACAAGTGTGGTGAGCCCAAGAAAGAAATCCATACAACCTTGTTTAAGAAACATTGTTTTTTAAAAATACATTTGTCCAAACCCATAGAATGTATGACCCAAAGTATGAACTCTGATGTGAAGTGTGGACATAGGGCTATCATGCGTGCACCACTCTGTGCGAGCTGCACATGCAGGGGTAAGTGGCATATGGAAGGTCTCTGTACTGTCCGCTTAACTTTATGTAAATCTGCTCTAAAATTTCATGTAAAAATGCTCTAAAAATAGAAATTATTTTAAAAAATTGTTCACTAGGAAAAAGTTCTGATACCCCTTTAAAGGGTTAGATTACAAAATAAAGATACTCTTCACCAAGAAAGACATCAGCAATATTCAGATTAACCAGAGCCTAGACCCAATAACACATCCCAATAACATATTTTGCAAACACTTTTTTGGGGGGGAGTAGGTATCGGGTTCCTGTAGGGCTCTACCACCAACCTACATCTCTAGCTCTTGCGAACAAAGTAAAACGAAACAAAAAAATAAACAAACCAGGAAAAGTTGTGATTTAGAAAGTAAGAGAAAATAAGGAACTCCTTAACAAAGGAGAGCAAGAAAAATAGGAAAGGACTCCAGCTTTGGGGGCTCACTTTGAGGAGGGGGATCAGACTGGCCCAACCAGAGAGGCGGAGGCCAGCTTTCAAGGGTTAGCTTGTGGGCTGGGTCTGGTTGATCATTATCTCAGTCCTGGTCTCATAGCTGTGGAATCCCATGGCTGAGAAGTGACTCCATTCCCAATAAAGGATTGTCTCTGGTCATGGTGGTTCGGTCATGTGGGGCTCAGCTTTTCCTGGAATCCAGGTGATCACAGGTTGAGGACAATGGCTGGAGGCTTCTGGGTGTAGCTGGGTGTCCCTGTACATCCCTTACCTTCCTGTTCTCAGTCCTGAAATAGGGGGAGATCATTCAAACCCAGCGCCAAGTGATCCAGCTGTGTCAGCTGTTAGGCAGATACCCTGTAAATGACTGATATACCCGTATGCAGATCCTAGAAGGAATTTGACCCCAAATATTACAGTAACAAAGGACACAAAATGAAGGTCAAGCTTTGTTCCACTTTTACTTGCCTATTGGGCATTTCCAGTGCCAAGAATTGCAATTTTGAGCAAAAATGCCCTTTAAGTCTCTTACTGTCCCAGAGAAAACACAAATGGCTCCTGGGATCAGAGCTCAGGATTCTGCCTGACCCCCAACCCTACAGTGGTCTCCAACCACGTTATGATTGTCATTCCTCCACGAGGCACTTTATCTCCTTAATCTCAAGGAGGAATAGCACAAAGCTCTCTCTCCTTTGTTTTTAATGTTACTATTTTACTCTCTGGTTATGGTTTCCTTTTGGGTGTTTAAGACCAAGTAGGCAACTCAAACTAACTTCTCTTTATTATTAAGTTCAGTCAAGCTTCCTCAGGGGTCCTTTTTGGGGCCTGTGATGAGCCTTTTGGCTCCCTCAGTTGTTTCTTCTACCACTTGCATCTACTAGTATAGGTCATGGTCTTATTTGTCCACATGGCTTCCCTTGGAAGCCTGGGGACATCTCCATCTGCAGTGACCCTCCTTTTTGTGGAGGTCATGTTGTTGATATTCTCCTCTGGGGTCCAACAAGCCCCCTGCTCAGGATGTTGGGAGGCTCCCTGGAGTTGCAGGGCCCTTTCAAAGCATAACCTGGATCCTGGCTAACCTCAGAAGGCAAGGGCCAAAATATTGGCTATCCTCTTATCCCTTTGTTTCTTGGAGCTTTGGTCTTTAAGGCCTGGGATGTTGAACAACTAGAAGGTCAGTTACACCATCTTGATGTGGGAGCAGAAGGTCTTAATCCTATGGTAATTCCCCCTGGATACCGGGAGTCAGACAGCCTATCATCTTAGAACACTGTCCAGGGTGTCTGCTAGCGGGCATACTCCTGCAGCATGCTAACAAACAGAGTCTTGCAAAGAAAATACAAAACTAGCAGGAGCATAATCCATGAGACATATTTAGTTTAGTTTTGTCAAAGAGTTGTATCTATGAGTATTTGTTACACTCCTCTTAAGTATTAGCAAATACTTAAGGCTTTTTTTTTGAGATAGGGTCTCACTACATCATCCAGGCTGGCCTTGAACTCACTGTGTAGCCCAGGCTGGCCTCGAACTCAAGGCGATCCTCCTGCTTCAGCCTCCCAAGTGCTGGGATTACAGGCACACCACGCCTGGTCATTTTTAAAATTTACCTTTAAAACTTTACACAATTTCTGGATTTGGATAAATTACTCTTTTTTTCTTAATAATGTAAAATATATTCCTTTTAAATAGGAATACAACTTAACTTTCCCTTTTCTATAGAATTATAGATGAGAATGTTAACTCTTAGAAACCTTATATTTAGTGAAGAACCAAGAAGAAAGCAATCCTACTCTGTTTTTTTATACGTCAAGTATGAAAATGCATTTAAAATACTGAAACCATGTTTTTTTGTTTGTTTTGCTTTTTGAGATGGGGAGGGTGTCACTATGCCACTCAGGCTGGTCTTGAACTCATGAGTTTAAGCAATCCCATCACCTCAACCTTCCAATTAGCTACAGGCACCATTCCTGGCTCCACAAACCAATTTTATTTGTCAGTTTTCAGTTAGGGAAAATATAAAGTAGGCCAAGCTTGCCCTTGACTTTCTTGATTCCTTTTTGAATCCTTTGCTTTTTAGGCAGCTTCCCAACTTTAAAGACTGATTGAGAATGTGGTATGTGGAGCCAGCTATGCCTGGGTTTGGATCCTGGTTCTGCTACCAATTGGCTGGAGGCTGGGGATAAGTCATTTAAATTCTCTGTGCTCTGACTTCCCTGCAGTGTACTTTAAAGCAGAAATAATAATAACCATGCAAAATAATAACATGTACTTTATTATGAGGATTGTGCAAGGATCGGGGGAGACAGTTAGGCACTAAAGCATAATTGGTAGTATAAATAAATGCTCGATAAGTGGTAGTTATTTTTAGGCACCCTGTGCCCAGTTATAGCAAGAAGTGACAAAATTCTTTGTTGTGAATTGCACTGACAAAGGGACACCCCAGGGAATGCCCAGGCAGAGGAGCCCGATCCAGGGTCAGAAATTACTTTGGATGACAGCTGAAATCTCCTTGGCTGGGTTTCTTTCTTCTCCTCTAGCTTGCTCTGCCCCACCAATCTCTTCTACTTTCCCTTTGGAAGCAAAGGCTGGGACTGGTGAAGGCCCTGTCGCCTTCCTCTCATCCTAGTGAGTAGGAATGGTAAGAGTAGAGCACAAGGGAGCAGCGCCGGTCCTGTAAATGCATCCTCCACGAACTTCAGAGAGCAACGAAGAGAGATATTCATGGTAACACTGCTCCAAGCCCAGAAAGACTTAGCCAACTTCAACCTAAGAGTTTTGGATAATGGAGATGTCCGCACCCCACCCTAGACTAGCAGAATCTCAGAAAAGCCCCACCAGCAATTCTGATAGCCACCAAAGCGAGACCACAGTCATGGCACAACTAAGATTCGATGGTTCAGCTCAGGCCCTGGCTCCCTACACACCCTCTCTGGACCCCAAGTCTAACCTAGCACCTTCTATGTTCTCACAGCAGCCTGTGCTAATGCATGGATTTCTTTCCTAGTGTTTACCATACTATATAGAAATCGTCCAAGTATCTCTTGTTCTTTCTTATTCATCTTAAAGCTCCTCAAGGTAAACAACTGTATCTTTTGTTTTTGTTTTTTGTTTTTTTGTTACTGGGGATGGAACTCAGGAACTTGTACCTGCAAGGCAGGCGCAGAACCACTGAGCTAAATCCCCAGCACAACTGTATCTTTTCATCTTTGTTCTCTAGGAAATCTGGAATAAGTGAAATGTTTTGAAGAGCAAGTTCCACCCTAGAAGAATTCCTTGGGCAGTAGACTGGGGTGCTGCTGTGACAGAGGATGGACGCACAAACCCCTCTCAACTCCACATTTCATTTCACCTCCACATCTGTCAACCAGCCCATTGTAGATAAGTTCTCCCTAAACTCCTGCCCAACCTGAGTCCACGAGAGAAAGAAAATGAACACTGGAGTGAGAAGTGAGTGGAAATTTAGTTAGGTGAGAGGAATGAGTTCTGGTGCTGTACTGCACAGTAGGGTGGCTGTATATTTCAAAATAGCTAGAAGAGACCATGTTCAGTGTTCCCACCACGAAGAAATGATAAATGTTCAAGGTAATGGATATGCTAGTTACCTTGATTTGATCATTATGCAATGGTATACATGTATTGAAACATCACGCTGTATCCTGTAAATATACCATTATATGTCAATCAAAAATAAAATGAAACTAAAAAAAAATAATTGGACTGAGAAAGATGTGAGTTCAAGACCTAGGATCTTTATGTCCTAGTTTTAAAGATCCACTTTAAGGACCTTCTTCTGGCTTTTCTAATCTATACAATGGGAATAACACTTATATAAAATGGGAAGGTATATGTTATATGTAGCACTTTGCAAACTAGAAACCACTGTCTAAAATGTAACCACCCTTTCCATTACTTGTGGACAATAAATAAGCCAAGCAGACAGGGACCAGGGCAGAGAGACAAAACTTGTACTTACAGTTCCAAGATCAGGATGTAGGACGTGGGGGACTCATAGGTGTCGTGCAGTGTGACGTACTGAGGGTGCTGCAGGTGCTGCAGCAGTGCAGCCTCGTGGGCAGCCTGCTCCTTCTTCTTCATTTTTTTGCTCACAAATTTCACAGCAACATCTTTCCGGGTAGCTTTGTGAATGCATTTCTTCACTATAGAAAATCGGCCTCTGGAAAACAAAAGGGAGAAAGAATTTCCCAAGGTTTCTCAACTAGGTATCATTTTATCCAGGGATGTGCAAAGTGTTGTGTAAAGAATTCAGATGGTAACATAGGTCAAACACCCCTGATCCAAAGTCTGCAGTCTGAAATGCTTCAAAATCTGAAACCTTTTGAGTATTGACATCACACCACAGGTGGAAATTCCATGCCTGATCTCATATGATGGGCCAAGATGCAGGAACACTAAAAGTAGTGCATATGTTACCTTCAAGATATGTGGATTAGTTATACATGTAACATAAACGAACACTGTATTTAGACTTAGGTCTCATCCCCAAGATATCTCCTTATGTATATACCCATATTCCAAAATTTTAAAATAATGTTAAATGCAAAATACTTCTGGTTCTAAGCATTTTGTGTAAGGAATACTCAATCTGATTAGAAAACCCATTTTTCCTCCCTTAGCATTGTAAGTCTTTGAGGTGCAAAAGGGCAACTAATATCAGTTTTTAGCCAGTACATTTTTGTTTGTTTGAGACAGGGTCTCACTATTTTATTCAGGTTAACCTTGAACTCACTATGTAGCTCAGGATGGCCTCGAACTCCTGTTGATCCTCCTGCCTCTACCTCTAGCCTGCACCACCACACCCAGCCAGCCAATATACTTTGAACATCAAACACAGGTTGTTTTCTTTTCTTGGTTGTCCCCAAACCCCAGTACTGATTTTCTTTTGGGGAGGTGTTTTGTTGTTGTTGTTGTTCGTTTGTTTGTTTGTTTGCTTGAAAAGGGATCTCTCTATGTAGCCCAGGTTGGCCTCAAACTTGTGGTGATCCTCCAGCCTCAGCCTTCCAGTGCTGGGATTACAGGCATGCGCCACCATGCCTGGATCTAGTACTGGGGTTTGAACCCAGGCCTCATGGATTCTAGGTAAGTGCTCTAGCAGCCCTTTGGTTTTCTTTTCTAAGCAGAATATATTTCTATAAAACACAACAATAACAACACTAATATTAAATAAGGAGGGATTCTATTCGATGACAATTTTTAAAACTTTTGTTGTTGTTGTTACCCGGAATCAAACTCGGGTCCTTGCGCTTGCAAGGCAGGTGGCGGAACCACTGAGCTAAATCCCAGGGCCAAAAACATTTTTAAAGAAGCAAAATTTTCATTTTATATTAAGGAAAATTTCTGATATACATGCAAAAGTAAAGAGCATAGATGTCCTATGCTCCCGGCTTCAAGAATCAAGGTTTCACCAATTTTGTTTCATCTATTCCTTTTCAAACTCTTGCTTTTTTTTTCTGGAATATTTCAAGCAAAATCTAAATATCATGTCCTTTCACTCATAAATACTTCAGCTTATATCTCTAATTGACACGGACATTTAAAACTAACCACCTAGCCAGTGCCACGTTTAACAAAATCACCCACGCTTAACAGAGAACTGTTTCCACATGCAGGTGGAGCCCTGCAGAGGGCAGTAAGAGCGCACACCAAAAGGGACACTAGGGCCAGGGATTTAGTTCAGTGGTTTCGCTGCCTGCTGCGCAAGCTCAAGGACCCGAGTTCGATCCCCGGTACCAAAAAAAAAAAAAAAAAAAAAAGGGACACTGACCACCAACTGAAGCAGAGAAAGGGGGCGAGGAGGTGACAGGGAGGCTATCGTCCTGGTGTGGGGGGGTGCGGCTCCTGAGAAGAGCATGCTCTGCACCCAGCCCTTCCCCATTGGAGGGGCGCACCCATTAGGACACTAGCTGCAGTAAGTGCGGCATTTTTATTCTGAAAATACTGTATTTTTTAGAAATAATTCTTTCTTCTGTTTTCTTTTTTCCATTCTCCCTTTCTGGAAGTTCTGTTATTCAGATTTAGGACCTTCTAGTCTAGTTCTCTAACTCTTCCTATTCTATGTTCCATCTCCTTTCCTTGTAGTTCTAATTGTTGGGAAATTTTTTCATCTCTGTCTTCCCACCCTTCTATTAAGGTTTTCACTTCCAAGAGCTCATGATTGTCCTCTGAATATTTTTGTGATATTATGTGCTTATTTGCTAATTTCAATATCATCTCTTACTTATTTAAGATATTAATGAAGTCTTTTATGCATAGTTTCCTTTTTCCCTATTTAAAAAAAAATTTTAATTTTGGAGATTTTTCTATGAGTGTTCAGTGCTGCTTAGGTGTGACTCATTTATTGCACCTTTATTCCTGAAGGATATTTTTGCATTGGGTCTTTTCTTTAGCTATTTAAAGATGTTGGTTCCACTGCCTTCTGGGCCCCTGGATTCCGATGAGAAGTCTGCAGCTGTTGAAGTCACCATTCTTCCTAATCTGTTGTTTCTTTCTCTTGCTGCCTTAAAGATGTTTCTCTCTATATTGCTTTTCAGTAGTTTGGTTATGATGTGTTTGGCCATGCTTCTGTTTGCATTCACCCTGTTTAGGATTCACTGAGCTTCTTTATAAATTTGTGTTTTTCACCACATTTGGGGACATTTTATGCCATTGTTTCTTCAAAAAATTTTTGTGTTCCAATCACTTTCTCCTCTCCTTCAGGGATTCCAATGACATAAATGCTAGGTCTTTTTGACATCTCCCCACAGGTTCCTGTAATTGCATTCAATATTTTAAAAATATTCTTCTCACTTTTCTTTTTATGTCTAGGTATGTACTTCAGGCCAGTCTTGAACTCACAGCAATCCTCCTACCTCAGACTCCCGAGTGCTAGAATTACAGATGTATACCACCACAACTGACTCTATTCTTCAGAGGGGATAATCTCTACCTTTCATTCCATTGACTCCTCTGTCACCTCAATTCTGCTGTTAAGCCCATCAAATGAATTTAAACATTTCAAATACTGTATTATTTTATTTATATAATTTTTATTTAAAAAATAATTTCTATTTTTCTGCCAAATGACACCTAGTTTTCCATTCCTTTTCAAGAGTATTCACCTTTACTTTAAGGAAGATAGTTAAAATAGCCGCATTAAACTGTGATCTTCTAACACCTAGATCATCTTAATGCTGGTATCGGTTATTTGTTTTTTTCTCCTGAGAATTTTTCATGTTTTCCTGATCTTTGTTATGTTGCATAATTACAGATAGTATCCTGAACATCTAAGGCATATGTGGCAGGTGGAAGGCAGATATGTGTTTGCACTTGCTCCTGAGACACTGTGTCTTCTCAGGTGGGTTCAGCCACTTCTCTCCCACCTCAGCATCCTCTCTGTGCCACTTCCAGCATACTTAGTGCTGCTGGTAATGCAGCATTGAGCTCATCTGCTGCACTAGTCTTACTGGCTCGAGTGTAACCTGTGAGTGACTTGGACTGAGTTTTGTGAGCTTTCCTGGGTCATGTGTTACTCTTTCATCTGTTTTTCAGCTTCTCATATTGTATTGTCTCTTTGTCTAATGTGCCTGCTTAGAACATCCCTTTGTTGCAGTATGATGAGCAGTGACGTTAGACAGAAATTACTTGGCCCTCGAGGGAGTCAGTGCAGAAGATGACAGCCCATCACAGCTGTGGCTGGAGGCGTATCTGAAGAAGGCAAGACCAGATTAAAGTCACAATGGCCATCTCTACATACTTCCCCAAGGGTTGAATGGAAGCTTGAGATTATACTGTCATTGGTACCACTCTTTGGGGATTTCCCATAGAAACGGACCATTATCTCACAAGGGGTGGACCATCCTCTCTCACCCACCAAGACTAAGACTAAGATTAAGATTATAGATTATTGAATTCCTCAGAGTTCCACCTCCCAAAAAACATAAAAGATCCCTAGTTCCCAACTGTGTGTGCCTCATTCCTTTGAGCACCCATGCTCCCCTCTTGAGGGCATCCTATATTTATCTCTCTCAGTAAACCTTTCATAATCTTAAGCTCTGTTGTCATCAGAATTCATTCTTCCATTTCCGAGAGCACAAACTTGACACAGCTGACATCCAGCAGGGTGGGAGTTGTGTCTCTCCTCCATCAGCCTTTTCAGCATGGTCTCGGGAGGCAGAATAAGCAGATGGCTGTGTTACCCTTGGTGGGAGGCCTGGCCCCACCATCTGTGTGGACAACACACCACTGCTGAGGCAGCACCAGCTCCCAGACTGCTGGGATGCCTGTGTAGTTATTTCTGGTTAAATGTGCTTTGCTCAAGTGGCCGTTCCTTCTGGGGATGTGTTATAGGGATGAAGATATCTTTTCTCGAACAAGTTTTTTTTTTTTTTTAAATACTACTTCATTACTGGAGAGTTTATTATTCTGAGTTCTTCTAGTGGACTTTTATTGAGATAAATAAGGAAAAATTAAGATTTTTTTTCCCAAATATCTTTCTTGAACCTCATAAAACTTAGTAGACTCTGGTCCATACACATGTACACACAGTGTAAACCCAACCAAAACAGAGCCCCACTGGAACACTTGCCAATTAGCAAAGCCAATTTTTCTTTTTCCCAAATGTTTTCAAAAATTTGAGTTCCCATTGTTTACTTCTCAGTGGAAATGTTCCTTTGTAGCTAAGGACATTGGAATTTTCACCCATTTTGCATTAAAAAATTACAATTTTGGCTGGGCATGGTGGTGCACACCTGTAATTTCAGCACTCAGGAGGCTAAGATAGGACAATGGCTGAGAGTTTGAGGCTGGCCTGAGTTACACAGTGAGTTCAAGGCCAGCCTGAACTACAAAACAAGACTCTGGCTCTAACAAAACTACATTTTAAAAAGTTTGTTTTGTTTCAAAAAAGGGAAGCGACTTTGTTTTCTCCAGGGACCCTCAATAGCCACTGGTTAAAATACAGCAGCTTGTCTCTTAACAACCCAGTTCTACCTCTCTCCCTTGCCCTGCTCAGTGAGACTTCTACTGGAGGATTTTTTTTCCTACCGGATGTTCTGGCTTGTGTCCAGATGTCTTGTCGAAACCTCATGGAGTCACAGATGGGGCTTCTCAGAGGTGGTTGGATCTAGGGTGTGTGATGCTGGGATTAAGGGTGTGTGATTACTCAATTAGTCCACTGAT